CGGTATCTCTTGCAGATACTGGGTGTGTTGATAAGGTTCGCGGAAAATATCATTTACAGTGTACGATGCACCTTGACAAAAAATGAAATGAAATGATATTCCTTTGATTCATTCCTTCGACAGCGTTGACTACCAAATATTGTTACGTAAAATACAAAGCGTCGGCGCCTCAACCTGCACGCTAAAACGGTTTAACAGCTACCTTACAAATAGATATCAAGTTGTACGAATTCATAGTTTCGTTTCTGATTCTCTCCTAGCTGAATGTGGCGTTCCTCAAGGCAGTATTCTAGACCCCCTATTATTTAGCATATACGTAAATGATTCACCAGAAATTCCAAGGCATTGCTCTACAGAATGTTATGTAGACGATACAAAACTGTTTGTTTCGTTTAATTTACACGACTCCCAGCGGATTGTCCAAGAAATGAATGAAGATCTCGTGCAGGTGCGCAACTGGTGCTTCTGAAATCGGCTACTACTGAATCCAGACAAGTCAAAATTAATTGTTTCCGAGAGCTGACAGATGATCTCTAAGCTCCCTGAATTTCATTTCTCTTTGTTGGGAAAGGACATTTCCCCAGTGAAATCAGCGAGAGATCTTGGCGTAACTTTGGATTCGAACTTAACATTTGACAACCATATAACGACCACAGTGTCGGAATGTATCTCACGTCTAGCTCAAATTAACCGGGTCAAACATTGCTTGGACAAAAATACATTGTTAACCGTAATACATGCCTTGGGTTCAGCAAAATGTACTACTGTTCGATTGTTTGGGCAAATATCACAAATAAGAATGTTAGAAAATTGCAGGCCGTTCAAAACTTTGCTGCCGAATCGTCAGCGGTGCGAAAAAATATGATCGTGTAACACCTCTCTTGAAAAGCTTGTCTTGGTTGCCTGTTAAGGACCAACTGTACTATCGCCAAGCTATTATGGCCTTCAAATGCATGATTGGTCACGCCCCTAAATATCTTACATCCCAATTTATTACCCGCAAGCAAGTTAGGGAACGAACAACTCGGAGTAGCCAAACGCTAAACATCTCACTTTTCAGAACAGCCTCCGGACAGAGAACCTTGGTCTTACAGGATTTTTAAGCTTTGGAACAATTTAGAATCTTTCCTTACATTTATATAAGCCCATCTTTAAAATTTTTTAAACGTTCCTTAAGGAGCCAGCTTTTAGATAATTTTGTAAATACTTCTTAGGTATATTAAGTTTAAAAACATTGTAATTAGTAGTTAGCTAACATTGTAATTAGTATTAGGCTAAGAGTTGTAATTAGTTATTATAAATAATGTAGTATAATCATTGTTCCTGAAAAGCCCCTTTGGGGAGGTAACAATAAAGTATGTATATATGTATGTATGTATGCTTGTAATTACGTATTACATCACCAATTTTATATTACTTACATTAGATAAATATCAAATTCCTGGACAATTATCGGGTTGTCGGAGGCAGTAATAAAAGCAAACTCATGAATTGTACCCTTCGTATTCCTTTCTTGATTCTGTTCTATGAACGTCTGAGAATAAACGTTTTGATAAAGGCAATCAATTCAGATTGCAAACATGGGGAAAAAGGAAGATATCTTATCACCATGAATGATGACCTTGCTAATACTATATTTACAGGTAATCAGGTATGGCTGAGTCAGAAATAACGGATTCGAAGAAAGTGGAAGATGAAACCAATACCGGTAGGTGACTGAAATGGTAACAGAGACAGAGAAAAAAAAGGAAAATAAATGGAATGAAGGAAGGATGGGGAAAAGGAGTGTTTCATTGGTTTCAATTTAACGACCGGGTGGATGAGTTGATGCATGCGTAGGCAAAAAGAAAGTGCTGAGCCAGCATTCATCTTGGTTAAAGCAATTTTTTGTGCTTGCATATTTATGTGGTAAACTAAAACCCATCTTTATGCCGATTTGCGACGTGAAACACAAGGCCAAAGTATGATTTCAAATGGAATTATTGTCTGGTGAAATGAACTACCTTAATCCATCATTTTTCTCCTACCTTTACACCCTCAGCGGAAAAAGTCCAAGGAAAAAAAAGAGTGCGAATAAATGAGGATCCACTGCTGCACATAGTTGATGACTCTAAAAGTAGCAGGGCGGCCCGAGTGCCTTCGTTCTATATTGGAAAGCCTCTGATCGATTTTGATGGAGGCATCGCAAGTGTAAGTAGAACTCAGTTATTGACATCTAAACTTGCAGTTACGGTAACTGGCGAGTGTACTCAGAAGTAAATTTATAACAGCTTAGAGGCATGATATGCATCCTACCTTTTATAGTCATTTATTGATAGCATGTGAAGAATGTTCTTAAACAAGGTGGTGAGTATTGAAAACGATTTTCCAATAGGCAACTTGCACTAAGAGGTCACGTGGTCAATGCTTTCTTTAAGCCATGAATTGGAATCTTGCTGGTGCAAAAAATTGACGGAGCGCATAAAAATTATCTTACCCCGAAATTTGAGAGAAAACGCATTTAAGGGAGATATTTTATAACACTTTGATTTTTCAACAAAGTAGTATGATTTGTATTGGCCGCCATGTTGGAGGGCACACTCTTGCCTTCCAACATGGCGGCCAAAACTACTTTTTGCTTGTATGTTATTACACGTTAGATAGTTACGCTCAGATGTGCTGAAAACGTTACCACATCATCATTCAACAATTTCCTTGAAGTTTAAGTGCAAAATTTCTGTTCAGAAAGAGGTAATTCATAGTTTTAAAAATCACATTTTGGTCACGTTACCAGCTATGAACGTACTCATTACGAAAATGGTGGGGGGTTGAGAAACTAAATCACTTAACAATTAGTTCATGCGTCAGCGTGCGTATGTCGAGATATTGAGCACGCGGGAAGTTTGGAGAGCACGGAAGAGGCGTAAGAGTTGCACGAGGCGCAGCCGAGTGCAACTCTAGCCTCTTGAGTGCTCTCCAAACTTCCCAAGTGCTCAATACCTCGACATACGCACAGCTGCAGCATGAACTACTTGTTTTATAACATTATTAAAGCGATCAATGCAGCAGTTAACTGAAAATTTTATTATCGTAGGGTGCGCTCAAAGCAATACGCGTCAATGTTTACGTGAATATATATTTTTCTCCTCACAGTTAATCTTATGTTTTTATCCTGAAACTGAGAGAAAGTGTACTCTAAAATGATTGTAAAATCCATATTTAGGTGCCGGAAAACTATTAATTTACCGAAAAATTGTTATTGAGAGAAAACAACTTTACAAAGAATGAGCTCACGCCATAGCCCGCACAGCTCGCGGAGATGACAACAACAACAACAAGAACAACAACACTCACCTCTTTTCCTTACTATCGGTTAACAAATTCAAACGTTTCCTCTTAAATTTCCTCACAAAACACATGGTAAACGCTTGTCTATTGCTGAGTTTTGGATGCACTCAGGAGACTCAGGATTGCTAAGCTTACAACAACTCGAGCTCAAAAGGAATATGAAGCACGCTCGAGCTATTGAATTTGATTAGGCGAATTTTCTAGCTATGTTACAATGTTATTTTGTTTAAGATATGACCCACTAATTGTGTTTTTGAAGGCAAAATCATAACTTTCATTTTTATACAAATGATGTCGCATGAACTCGTGTTGCAAATGGCCTATTGGCTGTGCAAGCCTTCTCAAGAAAGTTGCGGCTCTCTTAGCCCCACGCTCACAACCTCAAATTAACTAACAAATATTTAACTTTTATCGTTTGACCCTACCTAGCGTTCCTTCTGGAAGTATGTAAACGCAAGCTATGGAACACCTTAATGTTTTATTCCTTGTATCTGGGGTTTTTCAAGAAATATTTACTCTTCCTCGCTTTTTTTTCAGCGGCCTTCCACAGACACCTTTTTGGTGGTTAGCCGTCGTGGAAATTCGAGTGCAGATCACGTGTTCCGATTCAACAAAGCAAATTCACTGTGTCTCTTTGGACCTCTAAATCCCATCAGGAGATTTGCAATCCGCCTGGTCACTAACAAGTATCCTTTTAGCCAAAGGTTAACATATTCTGTAAAAATGTGAATGCCAATGTACCCTGCGAGCAGTGGTTTCGTCAGGCCGGACGCTATGCTTCGTAGCGTAGGGTCCGGCCTCGAGAAACCACTGCTCGCAGGCTAATGCCAATGTAACTTTCACTGCAAATGCAAATAAATGTAACACTTGAGCAATCGTTCAATGTAAGTTTGTGCGTTCCAGGTCGAAGTAGAAACACCTCTGGACCGAATTACTAATGATACTAAACACAGACCGTAATGTTTGGGCAACGCAGTTTATTGACTAGCAGAATAGATTCAAGATCAATAAATTACCGAAAAGGGTGGAGTTGGCGCGGAAACGTTGACTAGCTCCTCACTGAATGAAAGGCTGAGCAATCTGAAAAACGATTGAGGCAGCTACTACTGACAGTTATGGGGCTTGTTCTCTATTGGTATTACCCTTCATCACTTTGGGTGATTTTGGTACTGCTGAGAATAGTGTCTAGAGTTGTTAGGCGTGTGTTCATGCCACCGTGCCATCCTTGTTTTACTGCCTGGCAGTTGAATGCGTTTAATGGAACTATTCAGTGATTTTGTTAAGTGTAACCATTCCCACCTGATTCTCGTTGTCCTCCCTCTTTCTCAAATGAATTAAAACATGAGTTTAGACATTAAACGATCCCGTTGAATGGTACCGTAACCTTTATTAATCATTTATAGTTTGAATCTGTGTTTGAAGCAGATTAATTTTCCTTAACTTTCATTTTAGATATTTTGAAGTTTCAACCCACGCTGTTTGTATGCACACTCTTAGTACCAAGCACGTCGGCTACAATAAATCTTCATTCGAATTTGGTTTGTGGTGTTGTTATTAAAGGCCAAGAGACTTACACGCTTATTGCAGTTTTAATGTATGTATGTATGTATGTATGTATGTATGTATGCTTGTAATTACGTATTACATCACCAATTTTATATTACTTACATTAGATAAATATCAAATTCCTGGACAATTATCGGGTTGTCGGTGGCAGTAATAAATGCAAACTGTTCGGGCAACAAAAAAAGAATACCGGGGATCTCATGAATTGTACCCTTCGTATTCCTTTCTTGATTCTGTTCTATGAACGTCTGAGAATAAACGTTTTGATAAAGGCAATCAATTCAGATTGCAAACATGGGGAAAAAGGAAGATATCTAATCACCATGAATGATGACCTTGCTAATATTTTATTTACAGGTAATCAGGTATGGCTGAGTCAGAAACAACGGATTCGAAGAAAGTGGAAGATGAAACCAATACCGGTAGGTGACTGAAATGGTAACAGAGACAGAGAAAAAAAAGGAAAATAAATGGAAGGAAGGAAGGATGGAGGAAAGGAGTGTTTCATTGGTTTCAATTTAACGACCGGGTGGATGATTTGATGCATGCGTAGGCAAAAAGAAAGAGCTGAACCAGCATTCATCTTGGTTAAAGCAATTTTTTGTGCTTGCATATTTTTGTGGTAAACTAAAACCCATCTTTATGCCGATTTGCGACGTGAAACACAAGGCCAAAGTATGATTTCAAATGGAATTATTGTCTGGTGAAACGAACTATCTAAACCCATCATTTTTCTCCTACCTTTACACCCTCAGCGGAAAAAGTCCAAGGAAAAAAAAGAGTGCGAATAAATGAGGATCCACTGCTGCACATAGTTGATGACTGTAAAAGTAGCAGGGCGGCACGAGTGCCTTCGTTCTATATTGGAAAGCCGCTGATCGATTTTGATGGAGGCATCGCAAGTGTAAGTAGAACTCAGTTGTTGACATCTAAACTTACAGTTACGGTAACAGGCGAGTGTACTCAGAAGTAAATTTATAACAGCTTACAGGCATGATATGCATCCTACCTTTTATAGTCATTTATTGATAGCATGTGAAGGATGTTCTTAAACAAGGTGGTGAGTATTGAAAACGATTTTGCAATAGGCAAGTTGCACTAAGAGATCACGTGGTCAATGCTTTCTTTAAGCCATAAATTGGAATCTTGCTGGTTCAAAAAATTGACGGAGCGCATAAAAATTATCTTACCCCGAAATTTGAGAGAAAACGCATTTAAGGGAGATATTTTATGGCACTTTGATTTTTCAACAAAGTAGTATGATTTGTATTGGTCGCCATGTTGGAGGGCGTACTCTTGCCCTTTAACATGGCGGCCAAAACTACTTTTTGCTTGTATGTTATTACACGTTAGATAGTTACGCTCAGATGTACTGAAAACGTTACCACATCATCATTCAACAATTTCCTGGAAGTTTAAGTGCAAAATTTCTGTTCAGAAAGAGTTAATTCATAGTTTTAAAAATCACATTTTGGTCACGTTACCAGCTACGAACGTACTCATTACGAACATGGTGGGGGGTTGAGAAGCTAAATCACTATTATTTTGTTTAAGATATGACCCACTAATTGGTTTTTTGAAGGCAAAATCATAACTTTCATTTTTATACAAATGATGTCGTATGAACTGGTGATGCAAATGGCCTATTGGCTGTGCAAGCCTACTGAAGAAAGTTGCGGCTCTTTTAGCCCCATACTCACAACCTCAAATTAACTAACAAATATTTAACTTTTGACGTTTGACCCTACCTAGCGTTCCTTCTGGAAGTGTGTAAACGCAAGCTATGGAACACTTTAATGTTTCATTCCTTGTATCTGGGGCTTTTTAAGAAATATTTACTCTACGTCGGTCGTTGTTTTTCAGCAGCCTTCCAAAGACACTTTTTTGGTGGTAAGCCGTCGTGGAAATTCCAGTGCAGATCACGTGTTCCGATTCAACAAAGCAAATTCACTGTGTCTCTTTGGACCTCTAAATCCCATCAGGAGATTTGCAATTCGCCTGGTCACTAACAAGTATCCTTTTAACCAAAGGTTAACATATTCTGCAAAAATGTGAATGCCAATGTGCCCTGCGAGCAGTGGTTTCGTCAGGCCGGACGCTATGCTTCGTAGCGTAGGGTCCGGCCTTGAGAAACCACTGCTCGCAGGGTAATGCCAATGTAACTTTCACTGCAAATGCAAATAAATGTAACACTTGAGCAATCGTTCAATGCAAGTTTGTGCGTTCCAGATCGAAGTAGAAACACCTCTAGACCGAATTACTAATGATACTAAACACAGACCGTAATGTTTGGGCAACGCAGTTTATTGACTAGCAGAATAGACTCAAGATCAATAAATTACCGATAAGGGTGGAGTTGGCGCGGAAACGTTGACTAGCTCCTCACTGAATAAAAGGCTGAGCAATCTGAAAAACGATTGAGGCAGCTACTACTGACAGTTATGGGGCTTGTTCTCTATTGGTATTACCCTTCATCACTTTGGGTGATTTTGGTACTGCTGAGAATAGTGTCTCGAGTTGTTAGGCGTGTGTTCATGCCACCGTGCCATCCTTGTTTTACTGCCTGGCAGTTGAATGCGTTTAATGGATCTATTTAGTGATTTTGTTAAGTGTAACCATTCCCACCTGATTCTCGTTGTCCTCCCTCTTTCTCCCATGAATTAAAACATGAGTTTAGACATTAAACGATCCCGTTGAATGGTACCGTAACCTTTATTAATCATTTATAGTTTGAATCTGTGTTTGAAGCAGATTAATTTTCCTTAACTTTCATTTTAGATATTTTGAATCATTTGTTATCCTTACCATTCTAATAAACTGTGTTTTTCTTGTACTTGAAAACCCACCCGATGAAGCAGAGTAAGTAAACCGAAACTTAGTTACTTTTTAAACTCAGAGCTTAGCTTTTTAGTGATATCCGCGCGTTCTCGTTCCAGTGTATTGGGAATTCAAAATACCTAAAAATAATTCGCTAAGATTTTCGAATTCCTTTGGGTCACTTTTTACACATAGCCTGCTTATACAACCGTTTCTCATCGCGCCACCAGGGATATTTCGCAAAATGTCCTTAGCAGTAAAAAGTGAATATTTCTGGGGATTCTTGAGAATCCTGGGAAATTTTTTGGTCAGTAATTAGCATCCTAATAGTCTTTGGATTAAAACAGTAAGTCTTTCATCTTTGGAAATCCCGAAGATTGTCGAGAATAGTTAAAACAATACAAAACAAAACAAAAATACAAGCATCCTCAGAAATTCCCAGCAATTTCTAAGTATTTTTATGTTGTCTTCTAACTAAAAAAATACCAAGTGCTGCATTTCCATTTTTCATGTTCTGTTACAAGTCATTTTCCTCGTCTAATTTTTTGTTTCCCTTGATGCGACTTAGGGCCTGTTATCTCAAGCATTTTAAGGCATGACCCAGATCCTAATTTGCATAAAATCAGTAAAGAATCGTAATTTTGACAAAATATACCTCAACAGCATCAAACTTGGAAATAACATAAAACTTAATGTCCTTAAATTATTACCCACTCTAAGGTTTGAATTTTTGCTTGACGTGACCTTTTATTACAATTTTTTTAAGCGAAGAGAAAAGTAAAAATGTGCCGCCGAAATGACGTATATAAACGAAATATAACAGGTATATTTTGAAACACTAACATATTTCAGTGGTTGTCCGCTTTATGAATCTGTCCTGAATGGCCCACCACATATAAACCGTTAGAGAGTTTTTTTTTCCAAAAATAGGTCACGTGACCTTTTTAACAGTTTTATAACTCTTTACAAAAGCCCAAAAAGGTTCCTGCTCTTTAATGAAATAAGATTTTTCGCCATTCAGGAAACAAATTGTATTTATGCATCAATCATACAGCATGTTTGTTTGGCCGCCAATATCAAAAGTCATTGGCTTGTTTTAGTCGTCACTTTTCTTCAATTACGACGTCATCAGACAAGTGACTGCTGTTATTAAGCCTCAGAAGGTTTAAGGATGACAAAGTATTTCATCTAATTCTTTTAGTGGTGGTTAATATCAAAAGGACATCGCTTTTACTAGCAAAAGTAGTTGTCTTCGTGGGAGGACTTAGCTCGAGGGACGAGCCAGGCCTTAAGTCAAGTCAAGTCAAATCAAGTCAACTTTATTTTGGCAGGGTAGCCCTATCAGCCATTGGCTAGTACCATAAGAGGCCCTGAGCAAATTACGGCTACACGATAAAACAACAACATGCCTATATCATGCTTAAGTTTACAAGGGGTGAGCCAGCCAGGTCAGCCTGGCTGGCTCTGCTCAGATCTTTTTTCCTCATAGAAATTGTGTCGTGTTTATGAGAAGGCGGACTGACTATCCCTAGCTCTAGCCGAGATCTCACCCATATAAATCAGATCATCATCATCGTCGTCGTCACCACCACCACCATCATCGTCATCATCACCATCACCACCATCACCATCACCTCCATCATCATCATCATCATCATCATCATCATCATCATCATCATCATCATCATCATCATCATCATCTTCTTCTTCTTCTTCTTCTTCTTCTTCTTCTTTTTCTGTATATCGTATAGTGCATCTTTCTATTGTGTAGGGCAGTGGCCGTCGAAAACAAAACCGTTCTTGTCTGGCGCAGATTGACATGACGACTCTCTCAGCTAATGCTGGATAAACGTTCTTTTTTACCAGGTACGTATTTAGTGGAATTTACACCATGGAGATGGTTATGAAGATTTTGTCGCGTGGATTTATATTTCATACCCACGCATACCTTAGAGATGGATGGAACTGGCTGGATTTCATAGTAGTCCTATTAGGGTATGGTGTATTAAATAGCAGATAAAATGAACAACATGTTCCTTAAATGTAACGTTGTGATGCATTCTCATAACCTGAGCGGTGGTTTACTCCTACGGGCATAAGCGCGGATAACATCTTTCCCCGGGTGAACTCTCATATAAAAGTGACTGAAATGCTCATCGTCTAGCTTAGAGGTATATTGGAGTTAGCCCCTGGGCATCTTCCAACAATAATAAATTCATACTTGAGTAATATTACAATCTATTATAATACTTATAGACACTCAACTAAGCAATATATTCAAAGAAAGTTATCGCTCAAGAAAAAATGAGAAAAATGTTTTTGAGCGATGAAATTGACGTTGCATCTTCAAGTTATCACGTCTAAAGAAACTGAATTTTATAGATGAAATTTTTGTTCTCTAAATGTTAAGGAAGAACCAGACGGCAGAAACTTTGATTTCTTCAGGTATATCACCATGGCACCAAATATCGCTAACTTGACGGGAATCAGAACAATTAGAGTGCTTCGCGCCTTGAGGACCATCTCTGCCTTGAAAGGTAAATGTAGGTGTGTAGCTTACGTTACGTACATAGTAGCAAGATGTATTTAAAACCACGATGAGGCATATGAAACACGTAGTGGCATATTATTTACTATTAATATTTTTTACTTATAACTAATGGGATATCCTTTTAACCTCATTTGCTTTAAGGTCTCCGTGCAGTGGTGAATACATTATTGTCTTCTCTGAAGCTGTTGAGTGATGTCCTGATTTTGTTTATATTCTTTCTCGGTGTCATGGCGCTTATTGGACTACAGCTGTTTTCTGGACAACTGAGAAACAAATGTGTCCTCAATATTCAGTATGGTAATAGTACGGAGAACAAACAGGAGCGAGCTCTAAACGAAAGTAAGACATGTATCTAAATTAAATTAGGATGTAATAAATTGGGCGGCATTAGGCCAACTATACATAAGCACAAGGCTACACTGATGTGATGATGTGTTATCATCACCATGATGATGTGTTATCATCACCATTAATATCATCATAACATGACAATTACTAGTATTGAATGAGGCTGAGTTTGATCTGAAGAATTATGCAGATCAAGGAGAATTTTATCCACGGGGGCCGAAGGCAGAGGCGGACAAAATCCTCCGAGATCAGCATATTTCTTCGCGTGATACGAAAGCTGGATTCAATAAATGTCATTATTATTCATTTAAAATATTTCTCCTTTTCTGATTGGCTAAAATCCCATGGATAATTCATCATAACCAGCAGTTGTTGACCAAATTTGGAAGAAGTTTGCGATTTGTGAAAAATGACGTCAATTCTACAGCATAATTGCCAGAAAACTGGACAGTTATCGAGAAGACCTGGCACGAGGTTGAGTGTTTTTGGTAGTGTGTACAAAATGGCGGAACTTTTTCACTGGTTTCGCGAGGAGGAAACAGGTAAACTACTGGCTAAAAACATAGCAAGAGCAGCAAGAATATAACTCGACGGACGACATCTGCTTTTTGGAGAATATTTGCAGACTTGAACAACCTTTTATCTCCTAAACGTGCCAATAAACATGCAATCGAAGACTAACTTAACATCGATGGAGGTAAGCATGTTTTGGCTTGTTTTTAAACTAGGAATTATTTTGAATGAATAATAAAACAATTATTGAATTCTGCTGACGTATCATCTGAAGAATTATGGAGATCTCGGAGGGTGTTACCTGCCTGGGCCTAATCGGCCTCGACGGATAATGTAAGGAGAGATCTTCCATGTATTCTTTATTTGTCTCGAATTTTATATCTAGCTTTCAAATATTTGCTTTGACGTTGTTTTAGTAATTTCACACTGAATTTGTTCTGAGCTTTTTAGCTCCGCAAAAAGGGCTCGAGCCGTTTTTTTGTCCTTTGTTTTAGTAGCTTTTTGTTCGCTTAAGCATGTAATAATCGTAGAAAAGCCAACAGTGTTCTTAACAAACAAAACTAATTGCCATTTCCTCTTTTCAACTGTACACATTTTATTTCAATGTTGACTTTTATAAACAATAATTTGTTTCTGAATAATGTTTATTTACGTGTTATTTAACTTTAGTCCATCTTACGTGATGTTATATATATTTGCGAATATATATTTTATTAAACCGCTAGTTAAATAGAGGCAACAGCCGAATTTTGAATATAAAAAGTTTTGCTGTCTTACAATTTTTGAAATAGTTCGGGTTTTTGTTCAAGGTAAAAACTAGCAGTTAGTCTGCGCTTCTTTCTATTGAAACAGCCGTTTGCTGCACTTGTATTTTCATTCATATTGTAATACTTTGTACATAAACGCTGTTTTGCTGACCCGGCTAGGTCTTTGTTTCAGTACTTTTACTTTTTATAATAGTGAAGACTGTTATTGTTAGACTCAAAGTAAGAGACCAAGAAACATAAGCCAGTTTATCAGACCGAGATGTCTTATTTGCCGAATTGCCTTTCCATTGGGTCTCCAGGCCCGAAAGTGACGCCAAAGTTGAAGAATCTAAACCCAAGTTCAAGTTTCACGTATCCAGTTACAAGTTCAAGCCGATCTGCACTTACCACACGAAGTTCAATCGCATTTTCCACTCCTAATCAAGCCCAAATAATAGTTTCTCGAGATACCCGCGTCGATAGCGACGACGAGTCCTTTATGTGCCCAAGCGACCCTGAAGAATAGGTACGCCGTATACACACCCCAACGCATTGCCAAGTACGCTCGTACCAATTAAGTATATTTTTCATGGAACATTCAGAAGAAGAAAACAGTGATCCGGACGACGAAGACAAGACGGAACAGTCCCGAACCGAAAAGGAAACGTCACACAGTTGCCGCCTTTGGTGATTAATTTGCCCGCAGAGTTACAAAAATAAGTTCCACAAAGACCTTTCTGTGAAGAAAACCATCTAACCGACTACTCGATTGAATCAAGAGCCAGTGAGGACGAGGCTCAAAATTTTCCCGACGATAACAAGAAGGAGTTTCGCACAACCCACGTCAGGTCTACAGAGTTGCTTAAAAGCTTTCAAGTTTAAATGGCTGCTTTACAAACTCAATTAGAGTCAGAGCAAGAGCAGCAAAAGAAAACAGTCAACGCTTTCGAAAACAGCCCGATTCGAGAAGCCGCCAGTGCACCTCGGCCAGCTCCATTTCATGGATATGACTCTGAAGATGTAAACCGATGGCTAGAGATAATAGAATATTACCTCAAATTGCGATGTATAGACACTGGTAGTCCCACAGACTTGGCTGAGTTGGTCATGAATCTCTTGGACCTGCAGAAGGTTCTATGACCTATAACCGAAAGGCGACGTTTGGCCAGTTACGAGACTCCCTGAATGAGCGATTTTTCAATGACAAACAGAGCTGGATAACCTGGCAAGCTGTAACTTCCAGGAAGCAGGGAGAACTAGAACTGGACACTTATGTAACGGAGCAGACCAATAACTTCCGACGACTAAATATCACCGATGCAGAGAAAATTAACTACATTCCGCGAAGCAAAACGGCAGTTGACTCGTCTGTAGACAACGAGTAATCCGCCGCGTCTCGCCTTTGTCGCGTAGGGTGATTTTCACAGGCGCTCGCGTTTCGCTTGCTCTACTATACCTGAGGAAAATGGGGACTACTCGTAATCTAGCTTGTCTGGCGTGTCCCGAAAACGTAGGAGATGTGACCTCTTCCGGCAAGTAATGATCTTCCCATCTGCACTGACCCTCCCACCCGCGAGGAAACGGCTGAAGCAATTGCTGCTATGAAAACCAACAAAGCAGCTGGCCTTGATTGTGCAATTACTGCAGAGGCTAGTAGTGGGGATCTCAAAAGAAGGAAAGGGCTTGCATGGACAGCTTTTTGTAAGCTGGAACGTCTGTGGAGATGCCCTAACATCTCTATCTCCGCCAAGATCAAGCTATTTAATACTACCTGTGTCACTGTCCTTCTAGATGGCTATGAGTCATGGGTCCTGTCGAAAGCAATGGAGAGCGACATCAATGCCTTTGGTACCTCATGTTATAGAATTATGCCCAACATCAAGAGAATTGATAGGGTGTCCAATGCTAAAATCTATGATCTAACTCAGACTGCCCCGCTAGTAGAAAATGTCAGAACCCGCCAACTGAGGTTTCTGGGCCATGTACTCAGGATGGCTGATGATGAGTCATGCAAGGAGTACGCACTGTATATTCCACCACATGGGAAGAGAAAACCAGGAAGGCAACGAACCCTGTTTCTCAGATACATTCAACACCTTTTGGGAGACACAGACAACATGATTGGCCCGGGCAAGTTGTCTGAATTGGCACAGGATCGTTGTGGCTGGAGGAAGCTCGTAGTCGCCTGCTCTGCAGCCGACCAATGATGATGATGATGATGATGATAGAGATGTGAAAACCGTGAGTGGCGACGCTTTACCTGTCCTGGGTAGTTTAAGATCTACCTTCTTCTCGGAAAAGATTTCCTGCGGGAAAATGGAGCCATTATCAATCTAAAGGAGAGTACCTTACCGTTGGATGGCAGCAGCGATGAACCTGAAAAAGAATTTGCAAACGGCCTGACTTGCGATCAAACCCCCTACGGCCAAACGGACGTAAAGAATTCACTGAAGAAAAGTCTACGACAAAGGTTACACCTACTAAGGCCAAGAGCCTCGCAAAAAGGTGTCTTGCCACAGCTTTCATAGGAAAACTATTCTTCCCATAAGCCTCTACCAAACCAAAGGTGTTCAAAGAAAGAAATCGCCGTTTTCAGCAGATTCCCGCAACCTGCTACAGTGGAAAGTCGAATGTTTCTCGTTTATTGATCCCTCAATCCTTTTTAACCGCGCTTTGTATCGCTTTATACCTTACTGACTGAATCGCACGCAACAGTGCCAAACTAAAAGGTCCTCAAAGTACAGATGGCTCTAGGGATAGCTACCTTCCAAGAGTAAGCTTTCGACATAAGAAACGCTGCAGGTGTACCCGTCTACAAGTGTGCACCACAAAATCCCAAGGAACCATACAACACTGTAAAAGAAAACGAAAAATCCCAGAAATTGAGAGACCCTTCTCAGCGGGTCAAACAAGGACTAACAGAAAATTTTCCACCTATGATGAGTCTCGTAGATTTCCGAAACAGACCAGTTTGTGAAGTCATGTGAAGCAGTTCTACACTAAAGCACAGATTTTTGTCCCCACAGCGGCGCTCAATAACATGGTCATCATCATTAAGCATAATGATTTACGCAAAGTAAGGATTTATCTCAAGGCAAAAGTTTATGATTCATATAGGCAAGTCTCTCTGATCATTCAAAAAAAAAACTTTTTTAACGTTGTATTGAACAAGACCTGAGACGTCTGAGTAGCAAGAATAACGACATTACGCGCTATTTTCACTTTCAGGTTTTTGGTTTATTTATGACGGCGATCCTTTGATTTGTGGGAACAGTTCAAGTGCAGGGTAAATTTTGTAACATGCATGATCCAATAATCAATAAATCTATTAGCGTATTTATTAAATGACTAAAATGCTTCTCTTTTCCTTGCCTAGTCGGGATTCTATCTGCAATGTATCAACACTAGCTTATGTTACGCCGTCTCTTCAACAGAACACCGCGTTAGTCATTTCCGTAGAAAATCCATTGTACTGTATATACAGTACAAACTATTAGCTTATCAAGGCTACAGATATCATCAATTGATTTTATGTTCTATTCGTTTTCCCTGCTTAAGATCTTGTCCATCCAATTACACATGCATGCCTAATGCTGGTCCAAACCCAGATCATGGTTACACGACATTTGACAACATGGGTTGGTCTCTTATTATGGCTCTGCAAATACTAACAATGGATTTCTGGCAAAACATTTACAACAAGGTAAGTATATCAATTGAGATTTTCTCTGGAATAAACCAGACTTCGTCAGGCCTATTTCAGGCAGTAAGCCGTGGAAAAGTGGTGAAAAATATTTAAGTGACTATCGTGAGACAAACTATAAACTGTCGTAGTGTAACTGTCAAAATTGAACACTTATCATTCCTTTTAGATTACAAGATCCTCTGGAGCGCAGTACGTGCCATATTTTGTCATCGGAATATTCTTCTGCGCTTTTTACCTGATGAACCTTGTATTGGCGATGGTGTACTTATCATATGAACAGGAATTATCTTCAGACGGAAAGGAGGTACTTTTAGATACCTTCTAATTCAATTAACATAGGTAGGCCAACTCAAAGAGTGAACCAACCAGCGTATCAGTTGTTGCTGTTTTTTTTTCGCGGCGCAATTCCTCGCGACGAAACTCTCTCCTCGTCCCTAACAAGTTTGACAATTATTGATGAGTCAAACCAAATTTCGTTACCTTTCGCTCCAAATGTTGATTCACAACCTTCTAAGACAGCGAAAGCAAGGAATAAACACTTTGATGAAGGACCTGTGCTCAAAAATACTCTATTCTCTTTACCTTATCAGTTAGTCCTGTCTTGCTCTGAACAATTCAGTTCCACTCTAGCTGCTTTGTGCAGTATATTATACATGTACATCCCCATTAATTTGTCCCCAAAGGTGGTACCGCGCCAGTGATGATTGACCAGATTGATTATCCTTTACTTGTATTCTTTTATGACACGAGATTGAAAACCGTTCTATTAATTCGGCAGAATAGCTGCAGAACTCTCTTACATTGTGTTGTTTTGTGCGCATGATTTATTAGGGTGAAAAGATGGATCAGCAACGAACTGGTTGTTCATATCAAGCAGACAAGCGAACGTTGAAACGTCTTATTCTATTAGATAGAAACCGAACGCCTCCATCAGATGATGAAGCCAAAGATGCGGATTCGAACGCAGGGAAGCGCCGTAAACCACGTCGCCACCTCTTAACATGCCGGCTATTAACAAAAAGGTCTGAGACAAATAAAGTGACGAGCAAGGCCCTGCCTCATATGAAATCCTGTTGGAAAATGGTACGAAGGTGCATGCATCAAATCACCTCCCATTCTGCCTTCGATTTTGTGATTCTACTGCTAATAGTTTTGAACACAGTGGTTCTGGCAATGTACTACCATGGTATTCCTGCCCAGTTAAGGCGCGTCTTAGATATTTTGAATTGGGTGAGTAAAAGTTAGTGATCGTTTACATGAATCTGGGATAACAAATCTAACTGTAGATTTATTAGACAGCTCCAGTTTTAGGTAATTATAGACCACGTCTGATTATTCTGATATCCTTAAGCTTGCTGTAGGAGCCTGTATTAAGGCCGTCCTTGGGGTCAAACGATCGCGAGAAATAATAGTGCGGCCAGTTTTAGTCAACAGGACATAAGTACTACTAGGATGATCTGTTTTACACGCTATATTTATGACTGAATCACTAAATCACTGAGATTCGAATATACGACATCAATGCCTTTGTTCTTTGCTAAACAGGTGTTCACTTGGTTGTTTACGACTGAGATTCTTTTTCGTGTAATCGCTATGGGACCGACAGAATTTGTCCGCGTTCGATGGTACTTGTTTGACACAGCTGTCGTGGCAGCCAGCTTACTGGGATACTTAATAGATGCTGAAGGGCTCAGTATATTCAGAACCTTTAGAATGGTAAGCATACAGGAATCATTTCATTCCAAAGAAAGAACCTGTTAAGGTCTGTTGGCGGTTTATTTTGCTGAGAAAGATTTTATCTGGCAGCGCGACACAATTGAAAAAGATATACGTTGACAGCTTTGGACTTTGAAAATGTCAATATTTTGATGACTGTATTTTATGATAGCTAACATGTTCAGAAAGGAAACCAAGGAGATGTTCGCAATTAAAGCTAAAGGATCGCAACTAATTGAAAATTCTCGTACGAATTTCGTACCGTCGTGTTTGTAACTGAAGTCTGAGGTGACTCGACCCAGTATTTTAATAGGCACACCCTCCATCTTTGAATTTCATACTTAATCAAATCGATCTTTACTGTAAAACCATTGTAACAAACGGATTACTATTAGACCGAACTTAATCATGATATTAGTTTTTGTGCGATCGGAATAAATGTCACTTGACAATGGCGTCACAATGGTTTTAGCTCTAAATCGAATTTCAGCCCTATTCGGCATTTTCTTCTGAAATGCTTTACGCTACGTATTCTTTGGATGAATGTCTTCTGCTGTGCGAAGCTTCACAAAAATCTATGAGAGGAGCTTCGAGATATCTTGGAATTTCTACAAAAAGGGCATAAATTATGCATACACCGAAGACTGGACTTAATACAGACAAATTTGCTACTTTTGGGATATTTCCGAAAAGGTTTTATACGCTCTAGAAGTCGCTGAAGAACACAATGCTGAGCTCTTTTTGTAATTTCTAAGGCTGGTTTCACGAAAACAGCGATTAAAACAAAACTCGTCGATAGACTTTTTTAAAACATTTTCAGTACGTTTTCTATTAAATCCCAGAAGTTCCTTCCGATTCAAAACTTTAAAAGTTGTCTAACATGGGCGCAAGAATGAGTAAATATTGAAGCGATGTCATAGATTTAGATGTTTCATTTCTCTGGGATTTCCTATTGTTCTGAGTTTAGCACAACATCAAATTCCCATGAAGTACGCGAGAATTTACCGAACTTTTTGTACAAATTCCAAGATATCTTGAAATTCCTCTTATACATTTTTGTGAAGCTTCGCACAGCAGAAGACATTCATCCAAAGAAAAAAAAATTCCGAATATGGCTGAAATTCGATTTAGAGCTGAAACCATTGTCATGTCATTGTCAAGTGACATTTATTCCGATCGCCCAAAAATAACATCATGATAAAGTTTAGTCGAAGTGTAATCCATGTGTCATAATGGTTTTACAATGAAGATCAATTTGTCTCAGTATAAGAGATTCAAAGATGGAGGGTGTGCCTATTCAGAAAATACTGGGTCGAGCCACCTTAATGGTCTGGTTTTAACGTATCTCCTTGTAATAGCGTGTTTAAGCTTCTGTGTGCTTACATAAGATTAACTCTTTCCCATTTAGGTACGACTCTTGCGTTTGGCGAAGTCCTGGAAGACGATGAAAAGATTGATGAAGGCCATTTCTAGAAGCATAGGACCTGTTGGCAACATCACACTCATTCTTGGAGTAGTTATCTACATTTTTGCTGTCCTAGGAATGAAGATATTTGGCAAGGATTATAAAACAGATAAGTTTGGTGATAGTGGAGTGCCACGCTGGAACTTTAGTGACATCTGGCACGCTTTCTTGATGGTTTTTCGTGTGCTAAGCGGGGAGTGGATCGAGCCTCTCTGGGACTGTATGAGGGTCACAAGCGCTGCCAAGGCCATCCCTTACTTTCTAACAGTTCTCGTCATTGGAAACTTTCTGGTGAGTAGCATTTGTTAAGAGTGAGAAAAAGATTGACTAATTTGCTCAGAATGAACAAACAGTAAGTTAGGTCATGCCCAGATTGAGAAACTATGGCAGAATAACTGGCTGCCCGGATCCACTTACTCCTTCCATAAATAGTTTTTCAATCTTTAAATTATGAAAAAGCTTATTGAGTACGGCATATTGATTACTTCATCAAAATAACAACGAAGATAAACTGTATGGCACAAGGAATGACTATTTAAAACTATTTAAAATGACTATTTCAAACTTATTGATTGATCGATCATTATTCTCATACAGCATGTAAGTTCTGATAGTCTTGTTCTTTACCAGGTCCTCAACATGTTTGTCACTTTAATAGTGAACGCCTTTGACTTCCAAGACAAAGATGACAATTCAGATGGCGCAGATGGTACAAAGTCTACCATAAAAAGGATATTTAAAACACGCAGGTCCTGCCTTTTGAAGGAAAATAATCGTGGGTCTTTTCGTCCTTGCAAGCTTGAGGTTACAGAGAGTAAACACCCTGATGAGCAAAGCAATGGCGTTTCCTTGGCAATACACACAGGAGATCATGACTGCAAAGAATACTGTAAAAGTATAGACATAATATATATTTTTACTAATAATTTACTAAAATAATTTGAGTCTACACTTAAGAGAGAGTTTTCATTGGCTCATTTTAGTATACTTTCTAAATCAACTTTGTGGTTGCCCGTATATACACCATCCAAATTTCAATGTTTTGTTTCCTTTTGTATAATTTCCAATCTACTTCCTTTCGTCGAATTACAATATATTTTGTATTATTTATTCAAACTATTACCAAGCCTTATTTAAGAAAACTAAGCAGCATTCAACAAAGGTAGTAGTTTTGTGGCCTGCTTGCGTGTAGCCAGTTTTGTTTGTTGTGATTGGTGAAAATTCAATATCTTTAGTGTTCACGGTTTTCTGGCTTGCCATTAGACCAATCAGAAACGGAGAAATATTTGGAATGAATAATGTTGTATGTGGGTCTGGGTTTGGACATATGTCCTCAATGATATCGGCCAATTTTTTATTTTCTTCAAGATCACCTTTGATACTTACTTTAACGTACATGAATTAATCCGGTATATTCTAAACTAAAAAACAGTTGATTTTATTTCAGCATTTCTTTTTGATCCTTTTTTAAATCTATCCAGTAATGATTCTGAATTTGATTGGACATACTACATTTGACATGCTATTTCGAAATAAGCATCATCATACATGAATAACATTACTATAGCTTTAGTTTTAATTTCCTCTTTCTATGCAGCCTTAGACAACGTTATCGACATTGAGAGCTCAAACAAAACAATCAGTGAAGGTACGAATTTAATGGATGGCGTTGATTCTCCTCCGAGTGTCAAAATGGAACGTATAAAAGAGGGGATTTCTGAAAATGGTGTGGTAAAATCAGAGCCAGTTCCTTCGTTTAAAATCAAGGAATTATACATAGAGGACTGCCTCCCTGAGCACTGCGCATTTGTAGACTGTCAACTGTGCAGGCCTTTATCGACGGAAAGCATTTCCTGGCTTAAGTTCCGCGGCCGGGTACGAATTTTTGTGGAAAAGAAATACTTTGACTGGTTTATTCTCTTCATGGTGTTTTTCAGCAGTTTTATGCTGGTAAGTTATTTTATGCTGTGCATCTTTTAACATCTTTACAATGATTTACTTCATAGAAGTTATTTTGGCCTTGTCAATCTTTTATCATTTCATTTTTTTATGGCAGCCAGTGGTCAGGGTGGGAGTTCATAACCCTGTTCAGCCCGGAACGCCCGGAACTACAGCATTCTGGCCACTTAGCCACGCTGAGATGTTATTTAAATGCAATCTCTTTCATAGTAAACAGTACAGTAAATGAAAAATGCTTACCGAAAGGTCTTATTAAAACTCGTAGGTTTTTGAAGACGTTAACCTGCACAAAAGGCCAGATCTCGAGAAAACCTTGGAAATACTCAACTACATTTTCGCATGCGTCTTTACGCTCGAGTTCCTACTTAAAGCCATAGGTTTTGGCCTCACGAAGTACTTCGCTTCTCCTTGGAACTGTTTGGATGCCTTTATTGTCTCAGTGAGTAGAACTTGAACTATTAAGCTCCCTACGGTATAAACATTTGTATAAAGGCTGGATAAACGCATCGCTGATAGTATGTGTTTTACCTCACAGATTTCACTCGCTTGTCTATTTGAGAACAAGCAATTGTCTGTGTTTCGTTCTCTACGTACGTTACGAGCATTGAGACCACTCCGGGCCATCTCACGACTGGGGGGAATGAAGGTAATCAAAACTTGCTAGTAAAATGTCCCGGGGGAATTGAATTAAGTCATGTTAAGTCACTGTTTCTTGAAACAATGACCATGGTGATTTAGTTAGCTAGATAACAAAGATCATCCTAAGGTAAAACAAAAGAATACAAATTGATGTGGTCCTTCTGATCAAGAACATACCCAAGCCAAGCTATCAAAGAGTTTGTCCGGTTTCGTTATTAAATTGGGTGCAATAGCTTTTTGATGATGGACATGTTATTAAACAGACCGCCCGAAAACACAACACAGCGATTCGCGATTCACCATTCCATTCAGGTTTAATCCCCATAGAAATCGTACCCAGTTCAATATAAAGTAAAACGTAGTTTATTAGATGACTACTCAATCTCATGTGAAGGCATTAAACACTGTTTGTATTCTCCTTCTTAAGGTAGTGGTGAATGCGCTTTTTGCTGCTATACCAGGTATTGCAAATGTCCTGGTGGTTTCCCTTCTCTTCTGGCTGATATTTAGCATTCTTGGCGTTCATTTCTTTGCTGGAAAATTCTACAAGTGTGTGGATGAAGACAACGCCCAGTTACCTGCCAGTGTGATCGTCAGTAAAGCAGAATGTCTCAACCACACCATGGACGGATACCGCTGGATCAATTCCCAAGTGAATTTTGATAATGTCTTAGCAGGCTTCCTTGCACTGATGCAAGTTGTATGTTGCCACTTTTTTTTATTTTTTTTATTTTTTGCATTAACTTCTGGCTAATGACATTTAAATATACTACGATAGGCACTAAAGTGACGGTAAGGTTAGAAAAATCCCACCAACCACCTACCTTTAAAACTGAATGTTGGTTATTTTTGTGTTGAGGGTATTGCATTAATTGTTTGTACAAAGTACCGGTAATATTATAGGCGTTTTGGGTGAATAGCGTAAAAAATAGAATTTAAAAACTAGCATGGACGGCTTTAATATGAAAATAGGAGGAAACTTTTTGAAGCTAAACTAACCTGCAGTATATTTTTCCCCGTATGAGAATGAATCATCGTCATGGGTGTCGCTGTGGCGTTTCGTAAACATTTAATTGTGTTTCGGTTTTTAAAGGACACTACAGCTGGCCCTTTCGTCGTACCACTTCCACGTAATTAGCGCTCATTCTGTTAGGTGTACAATGCACTGCCTTGCATACTTAAGTAACGAAGTCTCTCGCTGAATTTTGTGCTTATATGACGTGTTTTAGGCGACTTTTGAGGGTTGGATGGAAGTTATGAAAGACGCAGTCGACTCGACTAAGGTGAGTATCAAATTCTTCCTAGAGGAACATATTAAAATTGTTGCGTAGCTAAGATCAAATAAAAATTTGGCCATTGTTTTCTTATCGGAGCTGATACGACCAAGTGCAGACCTCCTCATTTTCCATACCATGATTTAAAAGAGGCTGACACTATCATTACTATGATCATGGTGTTATCTAGCCGCCTTTTAACTGGATGAATATCTCCTGCCAGGGTCCAGACTCTTTCTGGTTTTCCACATGCGTTTTTGATCGGTTTAACGCCGAAATTACTTCTGAAATTTCTAGATTTATCCTTTTTTTCATTTTGTGAATAACGTAGACTGATCTTAGAATTTATGGGCTCGATTCATCTAAGCTGAAACATATGAAGGTGTGGGAACAACCCTGATGATCAGGGGCGGATCCAGGATTTTTTCAAAGAGGGGATTGTAAGTATGAGAGTTCAAGGCAAACGTCCCGGGGCCAAGAAATTTTCTATTTTCCAATTCCCCATAATACACTCTGTTTGCCCCCCAAATTTTGCATAAACCATTGTTTTTAAATGCTCCTGGGAGTATTGCATTTTCCCAAGAGCATTTTAAGACAATAAGTTATGCAAAATTTGGGGGGCAGACAGAGTGTATTATGGGGAATTGGAAAATGGTCAATGGGGGAGGGGGAGTTGGAGGGTAATGTTTGAATAAGTAGATTTTCGACATTTTGATTGAAGAGGTATAAATTTGTCAAATTTGAGACAGTTATATTAAGGACTAAGAGTACAGTGCAAGAACGATAGTTGTTTGTCAATCAGACTAGCTTGAAAGAGCCTTGTTGAATGAGCCTTTACAAAGTCTTGCTGGCATATCTCGTCTTTCTCGAATCTCCCGGAGTAGTATGTGGCGATCTTCTGCGAGATCAGAGAATCGCTCTTCAGGCGTTGTTGACCTAGAGCAGGTCTGGATTCATTTCATCAATGAAAACGACGGCTCAGCTTCCGCGTTTGTGATCGTTAGGGTGCCAGCAATGACCAGAAGGCGACAGATGTTTTGTTAAGGCATCTTCATCGCAAACACCAGGTGCTAATATAAGCTTGTTTGGAAGCTCCCTATCTGTAGACGACCAGAGTGTTTTCCATCTACTTAGTACCTAATTTCGAAGAGATTTGAGAAATGGAATATCTTTCTCCCAGAACGGCATGCTTTCTACTTCATCATCCAGCTGCAGTGCCTTATTTACTATAATCGATGGCACGACACAAAGCAGATGGCGGGCTTGGCGATCTTCGTCAGAAAATCGACCTTACATTTGGATGATTAAGGAGTCAAGAGGAGGAATAGCTACAGTCTTCTTGCAAGATCGATTTGACTGGAACTAACATTATAACTTATAATATGTTTTGGGCATGAAAAAGGGATAGACATGGATAGCCAGACAAGTTTGAAAACTTCCCAAAGGGGGGGTTGCAACCCCCTCAACCCTCCCTCTGGATCCACCTCTATCATGGGAGTTGTATACATGTTCTTTTGGCCTATGATCAAGTAGTTTGAAGTTTTCTGGTTTCGCCTTTTATCGACTGATATTGTAACATGGTGTTAGTCCTGGGTTTTCCAGACGAACTGCGAGGTGAGCTGACGCTGTAAAATCCTCATGTTGACTGCCGTATATTCGACGCAGCCGAACTCCAGCAGTACGCGTTTAACACATCATCACTTACTGTTACCGAACGTTCACTTCATTTCTCTTAGAAAACTCAAGGTTCGAGCACTCATTTTCTCAGCCTCGTCTCTGTCCGGCCCTCGAAAAATATGCGACAAATGTAACGAGAAGACACCTTTCACGGCTGTGAAAGAATTAAGTGCTGTAATGTGTTAGTGGACCATGAGCCTCCCCTTAATCACGATGTGCACACGAGCTTTGGATCTCTTGTGCTGGATAGTGTATCTGGCACTCGAAAGAAAAAGGTGCGGGAAAGGATGTACAGATCAAAGCAGTATCTTATTCCGAAGCTACAGTCATTTCCTATGAGCTGTACAAAGAAGTCAGAAGTTCAGCAATCTTTGAAGAGGTGGATTACATCTAAACCCATTCATCCAAAGAGCTGTGTGAGGCTTTCAACTTGATAAGGGAGTCGTGATATAAACCTGTTGTATCCTGTCGCTGATGGAAACTTTACACCATTGTTGGGGTGTGATGCTTGCTTACACATAGAAGTTCTCGAGTTTACGAATCTCGAACTGATTTTGCGTAGTCCTTGTAGGCCTTTTCCCAGTCCCTGTCGGTCAATTCAACTCGGTGACGTATCCGAGGCAAACGAGCGGGAAACGCCTAGACAAAAACAGAATGCGCATGTGTGTGTTGCTTTTTGAAATTCAAGAGACCTCAAGATGTTGTCGGTGATGGTTGTTTTTCAAACCCTTATGCATATTTGCGAGATCGAATTTTGCCGACCGGCTTTGAAAGTCATCAGAATGTTATTCATAGTCCTGTGAAGATTGATTTCTGCTCCTTCAGTCTCATCATTCCAACTGAATTATCAGAGTTTGTTGCTCCTACCTGACTCTTAACCCATATTTCAACCGACCGTGCGAATTTTCAAAGTACAAACGATACTTTAGTGACCTTCTATGTAGTAAACGTAGAGCGCAGATCTTAAATAATCAGAAATACCGAACCGGGTGATTCAAATAAAATTTATTAAATTAGCGGCGTACTAAAAAGTGCCAAAAAACTGAACCTAAAAGTAATAATCCTATAAATTCACCGACCTTCGCAGAAGTGATGCATGTAATGTGAGAAGCTAAAAATTCAACTTGGATGTTGTAGCCTCAGGATCGTGTTTTGAGCTAATGTTATCAATGAAAGAACACACAACAGCAAACGGAGAAATTATTTTTCGAAAAACTTTATTTAAATCTCAGAAATTAATCCTTAAAAGCAATTCGCGTAACAAAAACTTGGCGAAATGGCACATGGCGAAAATTATCAACACAAATCTCAAATCAAGGCGCTCCAGCCGATCTCAAAATGTATAAAACGCCAAGATCAAATAAGTACAAGTACATAATTTTCCTTTTAAAAACGTTATTTTCTTGACGATAGAGTACAAAATGTACCGGAAAATTCTCAAAAACTTCGCTGCCTGGTTGCGTTTCAAAACAGGCCAAACGCTCCGATGATCGAAATTTCGTGAATTTCGAATTTCTCGAAAGACAGTTTTGTAAAGAAAAGCCTTCCTTTGTCTACTAGAAGAAACCTAAGCATTCTTTTGCACTTTACCTTTTCCATCTGTGTCTTTCAGCGGCGTATCTTTAACCTGGAAATGCAAAATAAATGTAAACCAATGCTTTGAGCTGTCTCACTTTTGAAGATTTTTGTCTAGGCCTCACATTTTTGCTTGGACCTCGTGACCCGAAACGGTTTGGCCCTGCGGAATAATAAGACCTAGGAACTAGGCAAGAATTGACAGATACTCAACAGTCAGAAACATCTGTGCAAGAAACTCCAGGTGTTTTCCAAACTGATTTTGTGTTGCGTAATTAACAAAGTACATTTGGAGGTTGCTCTCTTGAAACCTCTAATAGTACGCCCTCCCAGGAAAAATTGCCCTCTTTGAACCAACACGAGATGGAAGGATGGGAGAAGATGGGACTATTGCCAAAGAAGACAAACACTTCCCTTAAGTTTTATCTATACTAGTGGTTGACAAGCGAAAAGTGAAAGAAAGGAACACTCCACCCTCAAACAATGATTGTTGAATTTGCATTGACCCAAGGTACCTAAAAAGAACTTGAGATACCACACTATTCAATCGTTACGGGGAAGGAGAAAGTTGCTAACCGACTTCATGTGCTAACCCTTGATGCTGGCAGTGGGTACTGGCACCTACCAGTTGATGATAAAAGCGTAAAGCTCTTAACGTTAAAAAACCATGGGATCGATATCTACCGGAATGTGCCAAAAAAGACGGTGGAAGATTATTGGAAGGGGATCCCAGCCTGTGGAGATTATAGTGGATGATTTCCTGATACTTGGTGAATATCAACAGAAGCCGGCCAAAAGGTGAGAACAGTAGTTACCGACTTTCCAGTAATTTGAAATAGCGCGGCTTGGGCAGACGACAGCCACTTGTGTAGTCAACAACTTGGAGAAAATATTTACAAGGTTTAGAATCCCAGATGAAATTTTCAGCGATAACAGACCGTTGTACAGTGCGACACATTTGCTCAGCAGTCACCATAGTTTAAGAGTGGAGATATTGCTATACAACCAGATCATCAGAGTATATTCAATCAAATGGAGCAGGAGAAAAGGTTGTGAAGACTGCAAAACGCATTCTTAAGAAGGCTGCAGCAGAAGATAAAGATCCATTTGAGAGACTGTTGAACTATCGCAACTCACCATTTGAAGATATTGGCGTAACCTCTGCACAGTTGCTGATGAGGTCGACGAACACGAACGATGATACCAACTCATCGATACCAACTGATCGTGTTCTGAAAACTCTTCATCAGCGACGGCGTAGTGCCAAGTCTAGTTAACACAAGCAGATCAATGATTTGCCTCCACTTTTAAATGTGCACAAGGTGCGGTTTTGTCCAAATAGTGAAAGGAAATTCTGCAAAGCCGAAGTATTGCCAAGATCGTGCCTACTGGAAGACTACGGACTTGCTCACTGGAGAAATAGAAGGCATATTCTCTCAGCTCCAAATGATTGTCCCATGATTCCAAGACCAAGTTTTCCTCCCATGCGTGAACAGCCTTGTGACTCTCCTGCAAGTCCACTGGCTGCTGAAACTGAGAAGCAAGCGCCAAGTCCAGTGAAATTAGAATCGAGACCGACAGAAACAGTTTCACACACACCCATTACAAACAGATCTGGACACCATTTATTTCTGTCAGAGGAGATGATGTACCATTTGAGCCTTTGGGATTCCCCCTAAGATAAAGGGTCCCCTGATTGCTTTACGCGAGCGCCCCGGAAATGGGCCAAAATCTACGTGGTGTGAGGGTGACTTGATCTTGAACATGGTCGAGTAGTTTTAAGTTGTGTAGTTTTGACATTTATAGACTTGCATTACAACAGAATTTTTGCTAGCCTTACGTTTTGGTTACTTGTTCGTCACCGTATTATAAATTTATCATTGTCATGATCATTCATAATTATTATTATCAGTACTAGTTAATACAATAGTTATAAACAATTAACCAATTATATTTGCTTTTAACGCTCTGTGTTGATCCTGGCCCACAGGTTTTGTGGTTTTCTAAGCACGCGAGATGATTCTTTGTCATTAACATTTTTTGTAACGTGTGTAACTGATAAATGTACTTCCTCTTAGGTGGACATGCAGCCGAAGTTTGAGAACAACTTGGTGGCGTACTGCTTTTTTGTTGCTTTTATCATCGTGGGTTCGTTTTTTGTGTTGAACCTGTTTGTAGGGGTCATTATTGACAACTTTAACACCTTAAAAAAGAAGGTAAAGTATCATTGGCTGTTTTTTTCCCATACCTACCCGTAGGTAGGACCTTTGTAAACACTCCTCTTTACTCAAAAAAGTGATAGAATTGAACTAAAGAAAAAGGCGCGTGAACATGTTGTCTTAAGACAAAACGTGGGATTTGCATTATTCGAAACATTGACACATCTATATCTAATAAAAACAAAATAAGCATAGTAAATTCGTCATGAACGTAAGTGGTGCCCGAAACATTTTTTCTTAATGCACATGCTGCCAGAGAGAGAGATATTTTTCAACCTTGTCTCTTGCATCTATAATGTAGTAGGTGATGGTGCCGCTGCGGGCCCTTTGATGAACTGGAAAATATTGTGATGACGTAAGCACTGAATTAGCGCCCCTGCTTTCTCTGGGAAATAGAACAGAGGTGCTTCTTGACCTTCCACGGGTAAAGGTTGAAAGTATTCCAGGTACAAATTTACAGAATCAAGACCAAACCACAACAAGGATGTTGATCTTTAGAATGTTACGTGATGACGAGCGCACACGTTACGATCAATACAAATTTATGCGAAAGGACAGGCAATTCAACTGGGGTAAGAGGGCATTCTCGCTTGGCCGAGGTGTTTTTTATCCTGATATTAGCTCGTATTATAGCTAACCGGATTGGTTGGGGTTTCATGCAATCACAAATTATTAAGTTGTATCCTCCTATGCTGTGAATAAAAGCATTTCAATAAATATTGGAAACGAGCGAATATTTTGTCTACCTTATTTATTTTGGGGCTCTTACGTACAAACTACTGTACTTTAATTTTCAATCTTAGTACGAGGACATCAGCAGCATGGGTATGTTGCTGACCGATTCACAAAGAAAGTGGGTCAGTTTTCTTAAGGAAGCCGCTAGAAAGAAACCACCCACAAAGGAGATTCGTCCTGAGGTACTAGCTACTACAGCTGGACTATGTTCCAGACAACTTTGTTAGTCTAAAAGAGTAATGGGAGAACTATTAATGAGTGTGAAAACGTCGGTTGAAGAAGCTATGTCACGATTTTCTGTTGTTATTTTGAAACCCTAAAAACACAGTGCAATCAAAGAAAACCCTAAAATAATAAATCAGTTTTTTTTCAAAATTAATCCAGTAATTTGACTTAACTATAAGTGTATCTCTTTGGCTTTCGGTGGCTAGGAGCCCGGGCAACCGGATTACAACTTTTTCAAGTTAAACTCCTGTTTTGTTGAAAAATAAGCAAAACCGATCATTCTCTGGTTTCCTTTGATAGAAACATTTGATATATTTCATGTAGTGTTCCAAGCATGGCAAAGATGGCTGTAAAATACCCACTTGAAACTCAAACGGTTGAAGGTTGAAGACTGTGTTATTGTTACTTAAGGAATAAATTTCTTAATACGATCTATACAACTAATTTTCCGAATGCCCAAAGCCGGGCCCCTTGCTGTGCTCTTTCATGTGTATTTGTTTATATGTTCCACAGAAAAGATTGATCGGCCTGCTATATGACGTGGTAACGGGGGATAAATTTGAAGTCGCAATTATGACAGTGATAATGTGCAACATGGTCATGATGATGATTCAACATCACGGACAGTCCTCCCACGTCACCACCGTACTTCATATCCTTTTGCCACGAAAAGTGTTTTCATTTGTTTCTTATTTTCATAAAGTGCGGTTTCTAATTTATATAATATATTTAATCTGTAAGATCTAATATCTACTTGTATAGGATAAAAACAGAAATTTCTAAAACAGTTGCTATTGGTTGAAGTATAAGTACTAAGCTTTCCGTTCATGCTTGAAGTGAAGTCCACCGATACACAAAAGGCAGAGTTATGTATAAATATAATTATTAAACGTCTAGCATCGTTTAGAGAGAAATGTTAGTATGTCCTGGTACATTTGCTTAGTCCCATCTGCTTAGTTGTCCCAACTAGCCTTAATTTATCACAGTCTTGCCCACGAAGTGACAGCAACCTCTTGTGACTCCTGAACGTTCCATCAAAAACAGGCAGAAGATTAGGACGTTACACACGTTTATTTATTTCAAAAAAAGTGAATGAGTATTGAAAATGCTAAATTTAGCACTTCCTTTAATACTCAGATTTCCTTGAAAAATTTCGTAGGCAGAACCTCGAATATAATAACAATCGCAGAACAAGTAATACGGTAAGCTAGTGAATTTTATAAATACTTTCCTTAACTCGTGATCACGTGTATCCAATTTTATTTTCACTGGTATCTTTGTTTTGGAAGCCATACTAAAGGTTATTGCACTGAAACAGCACTACTTCAAGAAAGCTTGGAATGTGTTTGATTTTGTTATTGTTATCAGCTCTATTGTAGGTACGTATATCCTTGATTGTCGTCATAAATTTTGAAATTTAGCAGTCTTCCTAAAAGTTAAGACCAAATGCAATTAAGATTCCCAGCTCTTTCCTCACTAAAAAACATTTACATGTATATGTTCTTTCCGGCCGGATGGTCCGTATATAAAAAAGAGAGACCGGCAAAAAAACATTTTTGTTCTCACTCTTAAAATTGGCGGGAAAATAATAATTTAGCCTCCAAGTTGATTCAGAGCACGAACGATTATAAAACCAATTAAACTTTACCTGAACATTTAATTATAACTATAAAAACAAGTGAATCTTTCTCATATACCGCTTATTTTCCGAGAGTGAGGTCCTTACAGGGAAACCTCAGACTGACGACTGTCAATACATAAAGGCCGATCGCGAGGTCTGAGATTTACCCGTGATGACCGAACGGACGAGGTTAATAAGTTATTTATTATATGGCCTCTTTAGCGCTGGCGATGCGATCGAAACCGTCAGACATAGTTTTTTGACAATGAGACAATTCTTGTTTTTGTTACGTCAAGATCTAAAGCAAATTTAGCCACTTCAATTTCACAAAACACACTGACCCGTGGTTATAAGTGATTGACCATTAAAAAGTTTAAAAGTTGAGGTAAAGTTGGGCCCAGTTTGTGATTGAATTTTGTACAAGTCTCGAGAACTTGCAGTCAGCATAGAGTAAGGCTGGTTGAGGCAGCATGGCCCCCGTTTTACATTGTTTTAGCAGTTTTCCTGACTGATGCCTGGTTCAGACGTCGAACTTTTCATGAGCCGAACCTAATACACTAAATTAGGTACATGAAAAGTTCGGCGTCTGAATCAATTAGGAACGCCTGTTTCAATTTGGAACAGCTCAGACGTCCTTTTCGCCAAGCGCGCCTTTGGAGCGACTTTGGAACGGCTTTGATTCAGACGACGAACGTTTCATGTACCGAACCTAATGCATATATTATTATAACCTATTTTGTAAGCAGTTTGACCGAAATGAGCATTATTCGCCTTTTGAACTTAGTTGAGCTGCAATTAAGATCTGCGTCTGAATCAATTCAGCCGGTCTTAATAGTTTGGGTCGGCCTTAATTCGAAATAGGTTCGGCTCACAGAAAAGTTCGGCGTCTGAACCGAGCCTGATTTGGCACATATATTTTGTCTGGAAAACAAAGTTCACTTTTCTCTAGGTCATGTTTCAGAGGAAAACTGTATAAAAGCATAGCTTTCACTCATTCACAAAAACTAACAAACTTGTGAATGAGGCTGCCACGACCGTAAATTCTGCGCTAGACTGGCGGGCAAGATAATTGCAAAAACTGCCTTCTACAGGAACTAATTAGATAGATTAGGCTTTGGAGAATCCACCGGCTTGCAATTCGGAGCTCTGAATGTAGTAGGTAGCCAAAATTTATTCCGACTTTCAGGTAACTTTGGCAGAAGTTTTTCTTCTCAGATAGCCTTTATCGGACCCACTACTAAGTCTCCTCCTTTAATTCCTCATCTTAACAACTCGGGTTTGGTTTGAGGTGCTTCAAAAATTTATTTATTAAATTTTCTCTCCAAGAGTTGCTTGAGTGGATAGGGGATTAATCTAGTGAATAGTTTTGATGCAGACTAAAAAAATATTTTATGCCTTTACAGAGATTATCCTTCGGGAGGTAAATGTGAATGAAGATATGTTCAGCCCCAGTCTTCTTCGTGTTCTACGCATCTTTAGAATTGCCAGGCTCCTAAGGCTGGTAGAGTTTGCCAAGGGAATACGTCAGCTGTTGTGGGCTCTTATGATTTCATTACCAGCTCTTTTCAACGTAGGTGCACTTCTTTTCTTGGTGATATTTATCTACGGAATCATCGGCATGTCAGCGTTTGGACACGTTAAACAAGAAGGCGCGTTAAATGACATTGTAAATTTTGCGACATTTGGTAGTTCACTGTCATTACTCTTTCGCTTATCAACTGGCGCGGGATGGAATGACATCATGGATTCCTTGCTACTGAAACCGCCAGACTGTGATCCTAACTACATGAATCTTCCCCATGGCAACTGCGGTTCCATTGGAGCTATTTTTTACTTGGTCAGTTACATCGTAATTATCTTCCTCATCATTATCAATATGTACATTGCTATCATTCTCGAAAATGTGTACCGTGCTCACGAGATCGAGGATTCCGGCATCACCCAGGAAGACTTTGACAGCTTCTATGTCTTGTGGGGGGAGTTTCTTCCTGACGGTAGGTTATATCTTCCGTTAGCTCAATTGTCGGAGTTCGTTGCTACCCTGAAGAATCCATTCAAACTTCCAAAACCAAACACTGAAATATTGGCAGAGATGGACATACCGTTGGGGTCAGGAGAGGTTGTTCATTGTTTTGACTTGCTGAAGGCGCTAGTTAAACGTGTTTTGGGAGAGCATGGTGAATCCCCCGAAGTTTTTCAGGAAATTACTGTGAAAATGGAGGCTAGATTCAACAAATCATTCCGAGTAAGGAAGGCCAAATTGCCGATAGTTGGTTCTACTAAATCGAAATTATCTGAAAGCGTGCCCGAGAATGACCTTTGAGTGTTGTTCATAGAGTGAGTTGGTTCATGATCAGTCTGTGTAGCCTGCGACTGAGTCTTTTCATTTTCGACAAGGTTGAAGTTTAGGCTGGAAACGAAGAAATTGAAAGAGTGTCCTTCAAGAAGGGGAACTTGGACAAAGCTGCTCATTTTGAAGCAGATGAGTGTAACATTTAGGCCCAGGCCAAACTTCGAACTTTTCATGAGACGAACCAAACTCTAAGTCAGGTCGACCTAAATTTAGTGAAGACCGTCTGCTAGGTCAGACGTCGAACTTAGGACGTGCCGAACCGATCAACTGAATCAGACCATGAAAAAGCAATTTAATACATTTTCTCCCGAACAAGGCTGAATATACATTATTATACAAATTTTGATTCACTAGTTTAGTTCGTCGCATGTGATGATCGACGTTTAGCTGCGTTTGTTCCGGAGACGATCTTCAGACTTTCTATCCGCCTGAAGCAGACGGATAGAACGTGTTGAACGACTCATTCAGACGAACTTAACTGGGCCAGACGTCGAACTTTTCAAGATCATGAACTTAACTCACTAAGTTTGGTTCGTCTCATGAATAGTTCGACGTTTGGCCTCGACCTTAGGGAAGCAACGACGACGACGACGGCAACGAGAGGGCAAAAAAAGGGACTAGGTTTAGATTAGTAATACAAAACTTTGCACGAGCATCACCCTTTTTTGTTCATTTCTTTGTCGTCGTTGCACGACCACGACGACTGAAACTGCCTTATATCACCTGTTTTGAAACTCAGATGCAGTTACTGAGAATTCAACTCCAGAAAAATTCACCAACATTTTACAACTGTAAACGACACGGAATAAGAGCGATAAATTTTAAAACAGCGTGAATTCAATTTTTAAGGGCCTGTTTACATGGAGGTGGGGGACCGCAGGTAGATGAGGTTACCCGCTTGCGTGAGGTAACCCACCCGTCCATATAATCTCTCATTTTAATTTGATCACGTTTACATGATAGGTGGGGGACCCCACCTCCATGTAAACAGGCCCTAAGAGACGTTTTCGCCACCTTCGTCGTCGTTTTTGGTAAAATCCTTAATATTTTAGTGAGTAGGACTTTTGGTCTATATTGTCTATATTTCTTTAAAAAGTGTATTCATATGCATGTACCGTCTATATGCATTTTTCGTATTTTAGAAGGAGCAAAATTTGCGACTGAAATGTGAAACAGATACCGGAGGGTATGTGCACGCTTGGAAGTGATGTACTAACCATAATGCTTTGAAAGAATATTTCAGGGGTAAAAGCAAAATCAGATTCAAGCTTATTTGCCGTCCTAGATACTTTCTCATAGCATAAGAGGATAAATTTACGTTAAAGTTTACTAAGGAGGTGACATTGAGATTTGTCTTTTTTTTTTAATTTTTAAATGTTTTGATGTCCATTTTTTCTAGTAGTAGTTTAGTATTTTGAAACTCAGCTCCGCTTTTAGGCTTGGCTTAATGTATCGATTAAATTTTTACCCTACGTTTTAAAGTAGAAATTTTACTATGACAAACAGAAAAAAAATCTTTAAGAGCCCTTTTGAACCTATGGAATTACAGTCGAAACCTAATAACCCGAACCTTCAAGGGAAATCGAGAGTTTTAGTTATCAAATAACCATATAAGTAAGTAAATAGAACGAGGGAGGAATGCACTGAGTATCATGCACACTTTACTTCAAGGGCAGCAAGAGATATATTGATATTTTAAAAAATAATTTAGGCAACTTAAGCTTGATTAATAAGTACAGCGCTGAACGTTGTATTTGAATTGGACTGACAGAAAAGTAAAGAAGCTTAAAAACAAATAATACACGGTTGTTTTGGTGATTTTCGGGCACTGCACTACCCATTCCACTACCCCTAAAATCAAAATGACTCGCCTGGGAACGATGCCAATTTTCCATTGGTACCCCTTTTATTCCATTTGTATCTTTATCGGAAATGGCGAGAAAAGTGTGATTCTTTACCTTCCGATTGAAAGTTCAATACGCACCCGTTACATTGCTAACGTTTGAGGGACGAAATACATCGCCACGTAAAAAGAAGAGGAAGCTATGAAGAAGACCAAAGGCACTCGCAAAAGTGGCTATTTGCAGCGAGAGCAATTCTATTATCCTGCTCATAATTTTATTGACGTTTCTGTGCCCTCGTTTGACTACGCAATCCCACGATTCTTCTTTGGTTATTTAGCGGCAGCCATTTTTTGTAAAAACAACCGAGACTACCTCTTGTCGGTACTCCTAAAAGTTGGGGCACCACTTTGTTTAATACCGAAGCGTGTACACGTGAGTAATTGCTCCAACCGTGCCAAAAAATGCAAGCAGGGTGCCAAAAATGTGTGGTGCCGTGGCCATTTTTTCGCTCGACGTGAAAATGTGGTGAAACTCCGATATCAAGCTTTTCTACTTTATGCTAAAATGTAAAATTGCTTGTCTGAACTTTTGAATAAGTCCATACTTTTTTTAACAACGTCACGTCTTTATAAGTTTAAAAAATACAAAATTAATGATAGCAAAAACGTACAATAAAAGTTTAAAGAATGGCTCAATTACTTTAAAAAAATCAAGCACACAAGGTTTGTCTCTCTTGTCGATGTAATTATAAAGCGATCAATTAGCAAGTTCAGATGCCCTTTAGAATACCAAAAAGTTAAAACTCACCTTACAATTGCCATCCGAACCCACCTATATATTCCACGATTTTTTCTATAAGATGGCTCGAAAATTATTAAGTTCTGGATAATACGACAAGAGGAGGTTCACAGTTTCAATGTTTTTACCGCATAGAGGACTCAAGCTCTGCCCTTATAGTAAAGCGCTGCTCCAAGGCCTTTCTATCGACCCTAAGAGCAAAGCTCCCGACAAGCATTCGCAGTTGAAGATATTTTCCCTTTCGTATAGATATATATATATAAAAAATTGGTACAGAACTCCGAAAATTGTTCCACCAAGATTCTCCTATTACAATGTACCCGGCAAAATTTGACCCCGGCTGAGGGTTATACCCGGTCTGGCATACCGGGCTACCCGTTTTCGCGAGTCACTTCACCTATCATGTAAACGTGATCAAATTAAAATGAAATATTATATGGACAGACAGGTTACCTCACCTACCTGTTGTCTCCCACCTCCATGTAAACAGGCCCTAAAAGTCAATAACACAATGCTAACTGATAAATTCCCATTTCAAAACAGACTTTCTCTTCTATAAAACGCATAAAAGTACCTTAAATCTTCGCTCATTCGGGGTTTTCTTCTGTCGATCCTAGTCGTGAAGAAAACAGTGTTAAATTCCTCCAGGGCAAATTTGTCGCTTGATCTTTTGACTTTTGACTTCATAACGACAACTGAGTATTTTCATCAATTTCTATCATTTGTACATTTCATGGGTGCATGTTACTGACAGCAGAGGAAATTTGCTAAATTTGCCTTAATTTTACCGCGCTAGCTCAGGTTTTTGGCATGCACCCACGGGCAAATGGTAGATGGGTAACTGACCAATCAGATCGCGCGCTTTACTTTTGTTATGTTATAATGCCAATTAGACCTACTGTTGTTTTTTCACCGTTCTCGTTTCCTTCGCCGCTTAGCCTTACACGATTTTATATTTAGTTTGAGCAAGCTATAAATATTATCGGGAGCTTCGCTTTTAGCCCTGGCTAAATCTATATGTTACACTTACATTATGCTCACAAATTTAAAATAAAAATTTTTTATCCAGGGAGGGGAAATCAAAGAGGTTCGTACAGAAAAAAAGTGACCTCGTTTCCAAGTTCTCTTCCACTCCCCGGGCACGGGGAATGCAACTTTTGGGACTTTGTTAAATATGTATGTGACGTGAATTGGTGTTTTTAAAGTGTAACAAGTGACAAGGGGGTGTTGCTAACAGAGTAACGCAGTACTTAACGAGTAACGCCGTTAACAGAGTAACGAGAAAACGAGTAAAGGAATAAAAATTCAAGAGGTTAAAAAAAATAATAATTAAATCCTAATAAAAGAAAAAACATAAAAATGGTTGTAATATCCTAATAATGACCTTTACCAATCTCGAAAAATATTTGTATTCCAAAAAGTGCTTAAAACAACGACGTCAACTCCCCATCTTCGCCCCCCCCCCCCACCCCCCATCCCTCCCACCAGCAAAATATATAAACGAAACATAACAAGAAGAAACAGAACAAACAAGGAGAAAACGGCCTGATTACTAGGTGTTATTTTAGAGTTGAGATCTTCCAAATTTACAAGTTTTGAACCCAAATGATTCTAGCAGGCAATCAAAAGTAGGCAAAGAGGACCCTACATATCTAGTAAGAGACAGAGTTTCCTAGTGAAATATGTGTCATTTTGCATGATCGATCGTCACAGGCATTGGTACCTGTATTACTTGCAATTGCAATTTCACTTCCTGATAACATCAAATTACATGAACTCATTTTGACCCAAATTTTAATTTGTTAAGCCTGGGCTTAATGACTTAAAGGCAGTTACGCACTAAAGGGGACATATTATGGAGTCTTACATGAGATACTGACCCCTGTCAGCAGGGACTTTTCCTCTTCTGGTTACGCTAGTGCTTGCGGCAACTTTAAAAAAATATTGTTGTGTCACATGAAACGTCTAAGCTAAGATAACAACAACTAATAGTGTTTTGAAATCGTAGAAGACAGAAGAGCCCTCTTTCCCACTTCTGTCTTCTCCCACTTATGGTCCCTTTGGGAAAGGAATAATCGTGTCTTCTAGACTTGGTTTGACGATCAATCTCTTATTTTCAGTTTAATAGGACCTGGCATAAGGACCTGAAACTAAAGTGGCACTCGCAGACAGTTTTTACCATCCTGCGATTACGAACTGGGGGACCTGTATTTGGCATAAGAAGTACTTTCCTTAATCTTCTTACAAAATTTAATTAATCCATTAGTTCTCACAATCGTTCACACTGAAACTTGAAACTTAGGGTAATCCCATACCTTGTCATCACAA